AATGCAGATGCCCACTGTGCTGGGGGAAAAAAAAAAAAAAAAAAAAAGACACACCTAGTAAGTTCTCTTTCTAAATTTAATTTCCGGAGAGCCACCTTAGAATTCTTTTATTATAGTACACAGACGCAACTAGATACTGCTAGAAGATGAACCAAGATTATATCATTTGTAATTCCTGTAAAATTACAGAGTTAATTTTTGCCCTCAAATTAATCAAAGGTTCAGTAATTCTTTCTACGTTCTGAAAGAGCTCACAATATTATCTACTACTTCTATAGCAAAGGACTAGGAAAGAGACAACATCCTACACAGCAGCTTCTGAAACTCTCTGCAAAGGTTTTCTTTTTGGCAATTTTCTTAGACTAAATCAGAGAAACAGATGAATTTTTTTAAAAAGTGCAATGAAACGCAGCTTTTGAAGGTGAATATAGGACACAGCAATATGAGTAAACTTACAATAGAAATGCTTTACCATTAACATCCCCGTCCGGTCCCCATGTGTTGCCTGATCTAGTTGAGAGGCATCCCTGCCGATGACAGGGATGTTGGATTAAAAATTAACTCTAAGGTCCCTAGGCCATTCTATGATTCTACGATCAAGGATGCTTCCTTTTATATTGCCTTCTTTTATTTTTACCTAGATATTATGCTAAAACTTCAATATGGTATTTTCTTCAACTTGGAATATTTTGTGACTAAGTAGAATGAAAAGTCACCTTACCATGGAGAACAACCTTGCGTCTTAAGAAATAAGTTGTTTGTATTTTGAAAATTTTTATATACACGTGCTATGTTGCATAACAGTCGCGCTGCAATGTTATGAAGCTTTATTAAATCAGAACACAGCACACCAAAGCTTACTATTGGCTGTTGTTTGATTTAAATAAACATGTTTCTGACACCCAGTTACATACTCATTAGCTATATGGGTCTACAAAAAGCAGAAAATTAGTTGATTTGAAGATAACTAGGAAGTTAAGGAAGTGCTTTAATAGGCTATCCTTTAAACACTGATTACAAAACCTATCCTACATATGCTATGCGGAGGTTACAAGTATGAGAACTTGTTTGTTGCTCTAAGTATATGATTATCAACATAGTTATCTTACATTGTGTGAACAGCTCCCTAACAAGCCTAACGAATTTAAGAGAATTAAATTTAAATAGGAAACCAGACAGACATAGCAGTACTGTCCCTCTTACATATGTAAACAGTCATCAGTTGAAGGAAAGAGAAAATTCTTCTCATTTCCCTTACAGTGCTTTGTTAAAAGTCCAATTCCCTGCCCTCATCTTAAAGCAACAAATTGTTTGCAAAAGATTAGGCAAGCATAGAACCCATCCTCATTCAGTAACACAAGCTCCATTACAAGGAAAGAGGAGGCCTGAAATGAAGTAAATCTACATCAAATTGACTGCAAGGCAAGCATAAGCACAGGTTGATTGCACAGAACATCCAGTGTAAGTTGTCCTCTTTGAATAAATAACTCAGCATGCTGTACCGGGGGCGGGAGACTGCACCGACATACAGGCCCTGCAGTCTGCTCTGCAGTTTTCTACTACACGCAGCTGTACTGCTATCTCCAGTCCTCTCCAGCTTCTCTAACTTGTGCCCAGTTTACCTCACGTTTTGGGTGTGCATGGCCATGGTAGCAGGGAGGCTACAGAGGGGGCTTATGCTAGAAGCTTCCCCTAGATCCAACAGAGCCAGTGCCAGCCAGCTACAGAGACCAACCCGCCGCTCACCAAGGATGAGCCCATCAGCGATGGTGTAATGCATTCAAGAAGCGAGGAAAAAAGTTTTTGCACAACTGCTGGCAAAGGAAGAGATGAGACTGTGTGAGAGAAAAAAACTCTGCTGACACCAAGGTCAGTGAAGAAGCAGGGGGAGGAGGTGCTGAAGCAGAGATCCCCCGAGTCACTGTGAAGACCGCGATGAGGCAGGCCATCCCCCTGCAGCCCACGCAGGTGGCAGGAGTGCAGATGTCCACTTGTAGCCCCACACCACAGCCCATGGATGCCCAAAGGAGGCTGTGGCCCTGTTGGGAAGTCCAGGCTGGAGCAGGCTCCTGGCAGGACCTGTGGACCCATGCAGAGAGGAACCCACACTGGAGCGGGGTGGCTGCCCAGACTTGTGGTGCCGTGGGGGACTCGTGCTGGAGCATTCCGCTCCTGAAGGACTGCGCCCCATGGAAAGAGCCCGCTCAGCGGCACTTCATGAAGAACTGTCTTTCATGGAAAGGATCCCATGCTGGAGCAGGGGAAGAGTGAGGAGTTCTTCCCATGAGGAGGAAGGAGCAGCAGAGACAACATCTATTGAACTCAGGGCAACTTGGGGGAAGAGGTGGAGAAACTAGGAGTACAGTTAAGCCCAGGAAGAAGGGAGGGATGGTAGGAAGTTGGTTTTTAAGATTTGGTTTCATTTCTCAGTGCCCTTCTCCAATTTGATCGGTAATAAAACTAAATTTCCACAGGTCAAGTCTGTTTTGCCCGTGAAAGTAATTGCTGAGTGATCTCCATGTCCTTATCTTGGCCCATAGCCTTTTGTTAATATTTTCTTTCCCTTGTCCATCTAAGAAGGGGGAGCCACAGAGCAGCCGTGGGGGGCACCTCAGGCACCTGGCCTCCAGTCAGGGTCAAACCAGTACAACCTAACCGACAGACAGCCATCCTTAAGTCCCTCTCAAAGCAAAACTGCTTCTTACAACAGGATCCTTCTACTAGCCCACATTTCTTGCCCTAACATGTTTCAGCTAGTTTAGCAGCTTTCATCATGCAATTTTAACTTCATGAGATTATCTCCTCAGTCTTTGCATTACATTACAAGATATATTGTCAGGGCCCTTGAACAGTTCTCTCCTGCAGCACAAATCATATACCTAGAAGCAACAATTCTATGGGAACACGGGGGTTTTTTTATATAGCTAACTACTCTTGACATCCATTTGTATTAGAGGCAATAACAACATAGCAATAGTCAAATACAAAGTGCCCAATGGAAAGAAGGCATATTATTTTCATCTGTTTATCACGTAAACAACAAAAATGCCTGCAGGAAAGGGAGGTAAAGTGTATTAGGAGGGCTTATGGAAAGACTCAGAACAACTGCAAGGGCAGTCATAAATTACAAGAGTGAGTTTATTAGTTCAGGTCTGTGAAATATTAAAAGCAAGTTACAGGCACTTTTGAGCCATAAAAATAGGCTTTTTATTCGTAAATAAGAGTTAAGTAACCTAAAAGAATTATTTTTTTTGTGTATTCTGAGGATTCTGGGGTGGTGTTGTTTCCTCCTTTCCTAGTTCATGTTCTCAGATTGTGCCTCATCCTAATAACAATCTGAGTAAGCATGCACTGGATAAAACTGTACACAGAAACTTTGAGAATGGCACTGTTAGTCTGTATTTATGTAATATTTACCAGCAGATTCATATCCCAATTACAGTCTGTACCTGGTCTATTATATTATTTTGCTCAGTGTATAATTTGATAGGGTTGATAGAACCTATTTCCACTACTTCACAATATCCAACATATGAACCGAGTCCAATTCCAAAACTTTATTAGCAGACTTCAATGGCTAAAATAAACTTTGGTTCCAAATTTAAACACATAATCCATCTTTGTGAGAGTTTTCTTCGGAAAGAACACACTATTTCACACCTCTAGTTGACATAAAAGATTAACAACGCATTTTACACTGTCTTCATCTGATAATTATTCAAGTGTAACTGAAAGGATTTCAAGGTCACTTGTATTACTTTGTGTTGTTAGTCTACCTTGCTCTCTCATGTCATAAGAGAAGAAACTGGAGTTGAAAATGCACATGTTTCAGTTCCACAGATTAACTTATTTTTATATTGCTTTGAAAAGACTTGTTGCATCTTTACCAATGGCATGCAAAACTCTATCAAGAAAACAAAGTCAACAGTAATAGCATACTTGTGTTATTACTATTTCTCAGTAAAACCAACACAACTACATCCAGAAATGAACAGAAATATTTGACAGAATGTCTCCAAGACAATTACTCACCAATTCATCGTGGCAAACAAAACCCAACTATCTGTGGATCTACTACAAAACAAGGACCCACATACACAAAGAGCATGAGCCCGCTGCACCAGAATAGCCACCTGTCCCTTCATTACCCACTATAAATCTTAGCTTGGAGCCTGTTACCTGTTCTAACTTAGTCCATTTCCAGTATTACTCTGGGAAAAAAAAAAACAAAAAAAAAAACAAACAACCACAACAGAAAGAAACCACCGTCAACAACCCACAACAGTCCTCAAAGCTACTGCTGTCATTATAGAATAGAATAATTAAGGTTGGGAAAAACCTCTATGATCATCAAAATTCCAACCATCAACCCAACTCTACCACAACCACTAAACCATGTCCTGAAGTGTCACGTCTCCACATTTTCTGAACACCTCCAAGGATGGTGACACCACCACTTCCCCAGGCAGCCTGCTGCAACGCCTCATCACTCTTTCAGTAAAGAAGTTTATTTTAGATTGGACATAGGAAAAATTATCTCTTTTAAACATAGTTTCATTGTAACACGGAATTAAACCAAACCTCCCCAAAACATATGCACACATCAGATGCCTGTGATAATATGCATACACAGATATGCACACATCCATTTTCCCTAATACACACATATAAAGTGCTCTGAGCACTACCATCATATACAATCTACTACTATCAGCTTCATGATCATCACAAGTTTGCATGTCAGCAGTAGAGTTCAGTTCTTTCACTAAAGAAAAATCACGTATTTTTATGTAACATTCTACACATTAGTAGGATGCACTTACAGTGCATATTACATGCATGAATACATCAAACATTCAATTTTATTCTCTCTTTTGCAAAATCAATTCTAAATGTTGAAAGGATTAGATCCTGACCAAACGAACAGAGGGCAAACAGGAAAATTTTATAATTAAAGAATAATTCAGACGTAATTGAGAGCTCCTACAAGAAACACTTACCAAGATCTGTATTGGGGCCCGCAAGTAGCTGCTTAAATTTGTCCAGTCGGGATGCTTCTCTTTCAGTTAACGCAGGAGTAGCTGAGGTATTATAGTCTGCCATTCCACTCAAAGGAGGCGTGGAAGTTTGTGGAAGGGACTGTGATCTCTGCATGGAAGAATTTTCACCAGCATTATCTGAAGGGAAAAAGAAGCATAACAGTTAGCCTCAGCTAGTGAGAAGGTTACTAAGATCCTGAATCCAATTTGTAAATTTAAAATAGAATTATGTTTTGGAGAAGTGTAAACACAAGTACAGCACAAGTTCAGACTTCAAATAACTTGGATTTAGCATAAAGAATATTCCTCTTCCAAATAGTATTCCATAATTAAAATACATCAATTAGAGATCATACTAACAGTAAGGCTAATGACTTCTTAAATCTCTGTGATACTGAAAGCTGTTTCTATCCCTCTCACCACTCAAAATAAAAAGGAAATCATTGCAATCCGTAACTTTAAAGTTTATACATAAAACACAGATCAGACCATATCAGAATGAAACCTAGAACATATTAAGGCTGAAAAAAAAAGTTTTAATTTTTCCCTCCCCCATGTACTTCTCACATACAGGCTTTACAGTTCAGTATGGCATGCAGTATCACCCTCACATTAATCAGTTTTGATGAATAATATTTTCCTGTGGTATTAAGAACAGGTTAGGAAGGGGTTAATATCTTAAAGGGCAAATATTACAGCTCTCCTCGTTTGATTTTCATCTTATTTTTCCTTTTTGAACATACCTGATGAACTCGATGTATGACCTTCGCTGACTGATTTAACAAGCCTGTTATCACCACACGCAATTGAAGTCAGCTCTGCAGATTCTACTTGGTTTTCTTCCTGCAGATGTTCTTCCTGAAACTTATGCTGTTCTTGTAGCTTGCTGTGATTCTCAATTACTTTGTGAGCCGTTTCCATGACCACTTCTGTATTTAAGTTTTCAGCAGCTATTGCTAAGAGTTCATCATCATCATCCCCAAGATCCCAAGCATCACTTGTGTTACTTTCAAATTCTTGGAAAGTGCTGACTTTCTTTAGTTTCACTGGAGTTGTAGGTGCCTTTGAACCCGGTTTTATCAAGCTGTTTAAAAACAAATAACCAATATTTAGAGGACTAGTAATGGAGTAAGCAAAACACTACGGGTAGGGTTGAAAAAATAAAAGTCCACACTTGACATGATATAGCAGATATGTATCTCCTTCCACTCGTGTTACTGTTATGTCCACCCATGACAACTCATGAATGTGTCTGAGAACTAAGGATGGTAAAAACTGACTCTTCTTGGCTTTGAACAGAACCTGAATAAATCCTTCCTCCCTTGTCCAAAAAAAGGGAATAAACAAACAAAAAGTAAAACTAACACCCAAAAAAGAGATCAGCCCCAAAGACAAACAAAAGGAATACTACTGGAATAGTTTATAAGGTAGATAGGACACATTTTGCTTCTCTTGCTTGTGTAGAGATTTCAGGTCTTTTAATGCAACTGCTGCATAACAACACAGCAGCAGTAATCAAGTCATCAAGTCCACTCCTAAGTCATCATAAGCAATCATGTAATACAATCACCATCATAAACTAATCAAGTCACACCTTACAACTCATTAAAACCTTTAACTCCTCCTCATTCAGGCATTCCAGCACAGACTTGCTTCAGAACTTTGCCCTTCTTACAGGCCAGGTATTTCTTCTAGTTACTAGTCTACGTGTGCTCTGATCAGTTCCTAACCTTTTGCCCCTTTGTCAGCAGGTAGTATGAGAGGGATTAACCAAGTATCCCTCCCTAGCTTTGCACTTGTTCTCACAATAAGGCAGAGCAAGGAAAAACTTTTTCACTGTGAGGATGACAGAGCACTGGCACAGGCTGCCCAGAGAGGTTGTGGAGTCTCCTTCTCTGGAGACTTTCAAAATCCGCCTGGACGCGTTCCTTTGTGACCTGCTCTAGATGATCCTGCTCTGGTAGGGGGGTTGGACTGGATGATCTTTCGAGGTCCCTTCCAATCCTTCATATTCGTGATTCTGTGATCTCCCTTCAGATTTCAGCTAAATCAAGCACAAAGTTGACAAAGTTTCCCAGTCTGCTCTTAAAATAAAATAAAGTAGCCATTAACTAATTCGTCCTTTTTGACCATCCCTGTTCTTTCACGTGTCCTAGTTTACCTTTCTTCTGTTAACACAACTGTCTTTGGGAAAAAAAAAAAAAACCACCACCAAAAAAAAAAACCAAACAGATAAGTAAAATATAAAAGTAGAAGCCGTCAGAATACAGCATTGTGAAAATTATTCACTTGCATTAGTTGTGTGTCATAAGCATGAAATTTTTTTGGCTACTTATGACATTTAACACAACGGTGCCATTTTTATGTACATTTTTCTGATAACCAATAATCATGATCTAAGGCAACAAACTTGCAAATCACCGCAAAACCTATTCTATCCAGTCTTCTCATTCACAAGCAAAATGCACACCTTGGCCTCAAAAATTACCTACA